TAAATAAAAATAAGATAAATTACACATTATATATTAAATTCTCTTATATAAATAAAAATTTCTATAAATATATTATATTTTTAATAATTTTAAAGATTGTAGCTAAAAAATTAAACCAAAATATTAATACAGACTCGCGCGTAGCGCGAATTATATACCTAGTGCATTGATGGCGTCCACATGGGATTAAAAAACTCAATCTGATTGGTCCACATCAGCATATTCATTAAATAAAAAAATGTTAAGTATGATTAGAACGGAAAAAATTGATTTAATTGGTCCACATCAGCTTTTAAATCAAAACAAAAATTATTAAGTATAATTAAAATATTAAAAGTTAATTTAATGAATTATGTCCAACAAAAAAAGTAAATTTAATTTGATTGATCCAAATCAATATATTTTTTATATCAGAAAATGTTAATATATTTAAAAATTTAAAAGTTAAATAAAAAAATTAATAATTAACAATACATGTATAAAAAAGTAACCATTATCAATTATCAATTTAAAAAAATCTACAACAACTCGATATAACAATTAAAAAAATGAAAACTGAATAAAAATATAACATAAAACTCTTGGAAGACATGATGGAGAAGGGAAAAATAGTTTTGCATGATCATTACAGCTTCATAACAAAATTAAATGCGAATAACCTTGAATCATGGATTATATATGCAGTGGTACAAAACATCAATACGACTTTCAATAAAAAAAATAAATATTTGAACACATAAACCTTCAAGAAAAAAAGAACTATAAAAATTCTATGGAAAACAGAAAATAATACCAAAATCTTAGCAAGATTATATTTCTCAAAATCAAATATATATGTACGTCAAAGTTGAATAATTTGATAGGTGTCATTGTTATTATTTTACCTAATAGTTTTTTAAAAATTATAAATAAAAATAGGATAAATTACACAATATATATTAAATTCTCTTATATAAATGAAAATTTCTATAAATATATTATATTTTTCATAATTTTAAAGATAGTAGCTAAAATGTTGTTAAACCTGTCGTGCTCCTAGCCACAATTAAGAACCCAAAAACATTTCAATGTTCGTAATTTCAAACATATAATTAACATAGTTTTACTATTATTTATGAAAATATGATGAATCGTGAAATAAATTAGATAATAAGATTTATTTAGCTCTTAAAACCATATTTTAAGTTGCTTCATGTAGAAGTATTATTTTTGAACTCCACTTCTTCCACCCGGTTTTTTTTCGACAAAAAATATTGAAACAACTAGTGACTATACTAACTATTTGATATGATAAGTATGCTGACATGCATATACCTCACCATACTTTAATTTCCTATTGTGTTTTTAGATATGAAACCAAACTATTTTAAAGCTATTATGATACGATGAGAAATTAAACATGTTTTATTAAATATTAGACTGTAAAAAAAATATAACATAAAACTTTTGGAAGACATGGTGGAGTAAGAAAAAATGGGTTTGCATGATCATTACAACTTCCTAACAAAATTAAATGCAAATCAACATGAATTATGAATTATATATGCACTACACAACATCAATAAGATTTTCAATACAAAAATTAAATATTTGAACACATAAACCTTCAAGAAAAAAAGAACTATAGAAATTCTATGGAAAACAGAAAATAATACCGAAATCTTAGCAAGAAATCTTTCTCTAAATCAAATGTATATGTATGTCAAAGTTAGATAATTCGATAGATGTCATTGTTATTATTTTACATAATAGTTTTTAAAATTTATAAATAAAATAGGAGAAAATTACATATTATATATTAAATTCTCTTATATAAATGAAATTTTTTATAAATATATTATAGTTTTAATAATTTTAAAGATAGTAGCTAAAGAAATATTAAACTAAACTATTAATACAGACTCGAGCGTAGCGCGATTTATATACCTAGTCTATAATATATAAAAGTTAATGGCATAATGCATTGAAGATGTCCACATGAGATTAGAAAACTCAATCTGATAGGTCCACATCAACATATTCATTAAATCAAAAAAATGTTAAGTTTGATAAGGACGAAGAAACTCAACCTGATTGGTCCACATCAGCGTTTTCATTAAAAACAAAAAGTTATATTTAATTAGTAATTTAAATAAATTAAAATATGCAGAAAAAATAAAAAAACTTTCAAATTAGAATGCAAAATTAAGATAAAAAATGTTTAATTAACAAAACAAATTAAATAAAAATTAGGTCACAAATTCAAATTTATAATGTCTATCAAAATAAAATAGAAATCTAATATCACAAAACCAAAATCAATAAAAAAAAGAAATCAATAAAAAGGTCGAATTAAAAAAAATTCAAAATAAAAATATGTGTAAAACTCAAGTTCGACTTATAAGAGAACTAGGGTTTGTGGGTTTAAAGAGAGATCTTTATTAAGAATAAGCCGGAGCTTGATGGGATACACAGTGAATTAGGTCGTCGGAATAAGAACACCGACCTAATTTTTAGGAAAGTAGATCGATAGCTAAGAACAATCAGATTGTTTAGTTTGGCATAGGTCTCGAAGGAGTATATTTGGATGATTTGAGAAGTCGATGTACCTCCTCTATTTATAGCCGATCAGGTCGGTCTTTTATGTCGATTCAGAAAAGGAAAGTCTTGTGGCCGATAAGACTAATCTTCCGTTTTTCCCGGGTTCGCTCGATAAATTGAAGTTTTCCATTTAATTTGCCGACCTGAACCTTATCAAGTGGGCCGACTAGAATTCATATCGGGCTTGTAGAGATGGTACGAATCTCATCTCTAACAATATGAAATCAATAAATTTACAAGTTTTTAACTAATAAAAGTAAAAAAAAAAACCTTAGCTAACAAAAAAATATGAAACTTTAAGCTAACTATTTAAGAAATCAATATAAAAAATAAACAAAACATAAAAAGTTAGTTATGTTTTACAAAATATTCATACAATAAATATAAAAATAATCTCGAAAAATTAACTTTTTAAAAAATAATCATCTAAAAAATTGATTATTTAAAAATTAATATAAAATTATCTCATTAACAGAAAAATAAAATTATATATGTTAAATGCCAATATTTTCAAAAAAAATGTTTTAAAATAAAGTAAACATTAATATCAGAAGTGGTAAATTAACAAAAGCAAAAACCGTATAAAAGAAAACTAACTTTATATTTAGGCTAACATTTTTTAAAAAATCAACATAAAAAATTTAACAAACAAAAACCAAATGATGTTATAAGCTTTTGAGAAAATTCTGCATAAGATTAAAATGAACAGATATAGACTGTCAAATCAGCATTATAACTAAAATGAAAATTAATATGAAAAAACAGCTTAAATAAAGAAAATGCATTCATGTACAAGAAATTAACTTGATTTGTTTGCTACATATTTTGAAATTCAACAATAAAAGAGCTTAATAAAAATATATATAAGTCCTACATATATCAAACATACAAAATTATATAAATTAAAATAGAATATAAAATTAATCTCAAAAGATATATAGTATATATAAAAAAAAGTTAAACGAAACTAATTTAAAATTAGTTTCAAAATTTTTCTGATTTCTAAACTAGTGGTATCGATGATGAATAACTATCTAAAGTTGCAATCAGTTTACATGAGTTTCTAAATCAAATATATTTTTTAAATATACAAAGATTAAAACACTTTGTGTCTCTGATTTAAAAATAACAAAGAAAGACACTACATAAGAATTTTACACTTAAAATTTAACAAATAATAAAATCTGATTTCTATACATAGCTACTACTTATATCTGAACCAACATTAATAACACATGGGTAATATATTCTAAAATTTTATTTAAATAATAAAGTATGACGGATTTATGAGTTAAACTCAAATTAATATAAAGAGCTAACATATTCTAATGAAACATGCAGAAATCACACAAAAGATAAATATAGTGAAAAATAATACAAAGACTCCACACCATCAATTCTACAAGTTTCAAAATTAAAATTATCAAATATTAGACTGCAAATAAAAGAATACTGAAATAATAAACTGAATAAAGATATAAGTTAAAATTTGTGGTAGATCTAAAGTAGAAGCTTTGCATGGTCATTGCAGCATCCTTACAAAACTAAATATGAATCAATATGAATCATGAATTATACATGCATAGGTACACAACATCAATGAGACATTCAATTAAAAAAATAAATATTTGAATATGTAAACCGTAAGAAAAAAAGAATTCTAGAAATCATATCGAAAACAAAACAAAACAAAACATCAAGATCTTAGCAATAAAATATTTCTCTAAATCAAATTTATATGTACGTCAAAGTATATAATTCGATATGTGTTATTGTTATTATAAAAACATTCATGTTAAACTAACAAAAGAAAAAGTCATCTAAAACTTGATATTTAGCCTAATTATTTAATAAACCAACTCAAAAAGCTAAACTAACCAAAAAAATTTAACTAACAAAAAACCAAAAATAAAATATTTTTTCTAACATATCAATAGAATTAAAATAAAAATTCATAATGAAAAAGTTAAATTAACAAAAAAGAGGATATTAACTTGATATTTATACTATTTTTTATTTAATAAAAACAATAAAAACAATTGTTTTTATGCACTATTCATATGTATAAGATCAGAAACCAACATGTTAAACGCCAATGGCTTGAGGTGGTTTTGGAGAAACCAACATGTATAGGAACAGTACTATCCTACAACACACAATTTCGGACTAAGACATGTTTTGGTAAAATCTGTTTAAAAAATATTAGAAAAAAAAAAATTAAATCAAATTATTAATACGTGCTAATTAAAACCTAATTTTAGTAAAAATTAAATAAGAAACGTTTTTATTAATTATTTTTGTATAATGTAAAAAGACAAAAAAATGAGAAAATAAGCCCCAAATAATGGAGACAAAGTGGAGAGAGAAAGCTCCACTCTCTCACACCCCAAAGCTTCTTCTTCATCTAATCTGAATCCAAGAAAGCAAATCAAAGCCCTCTCTATATGACACAAGATCGCACAGAAATGTCTGAGGATGATGATGACCAATCTCCACCGTCGGATCTACGCTCTGAACCACCTTGTTCTTCTTCCTCCTCCGCCGTCGATTCCACGCCAAACAAATCTCGCAACTGCATCTCCTCCTCTGGAACCATGACGGCCTCTCAGCCTTTCCCTGACCATGTCCTCGAGAACGTCCTCGAGAACGTGCTTCAGTTCCTAGATTCGAGATGCGACCGTAACTCAGCTTCTCTTGTCTGCAAATCGTGGTGGAAAGTCGAGGCTTTGACTCGATCCGAGGTTTTCATCGGGAACTGTTACGCCCTCTCACCGGCGAGGCTAACTCAGCGATTCAAGCGAGTTAGGTCTCTGGTGCTTAAAGGGAAACCTAGGTTTGCTGATTTCAATCTCATGCCTCCTGATTGGGGTGCTAATTTCGCTCCTTGGGTTTCCACCATGGCCAAAGCTTACCCTTGGCTCGAGAAGGTGGATTTGAAGCGGATGTTTGTTACTGATGACGATTTAGCACTTCTCGCTGAGTCTTTTCCTGGATTCAAAGAGCTTATCTTGGTTTGTTGTGAAGGGTTTGGGACTAGTGGTATCGCTCTTGTTGCAAACAAGTGCAGGTAATTTCACTTCTCTGTTTGACTCTAGACGTTTTGAGTAATGTTTGATAGTGTGGACTGTGGAGGGTCTGTCGTGGACTTATAGAATACGAATTTTGTTTCAGAAAGCTGAAGGTTCTTGATCTGATTGAGTCAGAGGTCACCGACGATGAAATAGATTGGATTTCGTGTTTCCCGGAGGATGTAACTAGTTTGGAATCTTTAGCTTTTGACTGTGTGGAAGCTCCTATCAATTTCAAGGCCTTGGAGGGTCTTGTTGGTAGGTCGCCGTTCTTGAGGAAACTTAGGCTGAACCGGTTTGTGTCCCTCGAGGAGCTCCACCGCCTGCTACTTGGAGCTCCACAGCTCACTTGCCTTGGGACAGGTTCATTTAGCCATGATAATGGAGCTCATCAGAGTGAACCAGAACCGGATTACGCAGCCGCGTTCCGTGCCTGTAAATCTGTAGTTTGCCTTTCAGGATTCAGGGAGCTAATGCCGGAGTACCTTCCGGCTATATTTCCGGTCTGCGCCAATCTTACCTCGCTGAACTTCAGTTATGCTAACATCTCTCCTGATATGTTTAAGCCCATCATACACAATTGCCACAAACTTCAGGTTTTTTGGGTATGTATCCTTCTTGATCTATGTCTACATGGTTTTAAGTTATCTATGTGGCTTATTACTTGTCACCATATCGTTTCGGTCGGATGGATTGGAGATGATAAACTTGATATCAGCTGTTTAAGGAAGTCGAGTAAATGCATATCTTGAACTTTCACAATGCAGGCTCTGGATTCGATATGCGATGAAGGACTACAAGCAGTTGCTGCAACTTGCAAGGAACTCCGGGAGCTTCGGATCTTCCCTTTTGATCCCCGGGAAGACAGTGAAGGTCCTGTCTCTGAATTAGGCCTCCAAGCAATCTCCGAGGGTTGTAGGAACCTAGAATCTATACTCTACTTTTGCCAGCGCATGACTAATGCCGCCGTGATAGCCATGTCAGAGAACTGTCCTGAGCTTACTGTGTTTAGGCTCTGCATAATGGGTCGACATAGGCCTGACCATGTGACAGGAAAGCCTATGGACGAGGGATTTGGTGCCATTGTTAAAAACTGCAAGAAACTAACCCGGCTTGCAGTGTCCGGGTTGCTTACAGATCAAGCGTTTAGGTATATGGGTGAGTATGGGAAACTGATCCGTACTCTCTCAGTAGCTTTTGCCGGGGACAGTGACATGGCTCTGAGGCATGTCCTCGAAGGTTGCCCTAGACTACAGAAACTTGAGATAAGGGACAGTCCGTTTGGGGATGTTGCGTTACGCTGTGGCATGCATCGTTATTACAACATGAGATTCGTTTGGATGTCGGCATGTAGCTTGTCTAAGAGTTGCTGCAAGGATGTTGCACGTGCCATGCAGAACCTAGTTGTGGAAGTAATTGGGTCAGATGATGATGATGACAATAGGGATTATGTTGAGACTTTATACATGTACCGGTCTCTTGATGGTCCAAGAAAGGATGCACCAAAGTTTGTCACAATTTTATAGGAAAAGAGGAGCATTTTGGTGTGTTGCTGATGATTTTCAAGAGAGGGAATGAAATGGGTAGGTGTAGAAGGATGGTGGCATCAGAGGCACAGTGTATGATTGTTGATGATGATGGTGATGATGGTTACTAGGGCATTCGAGGCATAATGCATTATTGTTGTATCATTATTTATTTTCTTTTCTTTTCTTTTGGTTTAAAAAGTTCTTCTTGGTTGGTTAGGTGGAACAATGGATGTATGTTTTGGGGAGCATCGGTGTTAGTTAGCTGAGTTGGTTCAATGTTTCTAATAAGCTGCACCTTTAGCTCTCTCTAGTTGTTGAGAAACTAATGAGACATCTCTCTTCGTCTTTTCCATTTTCAATTAATTTGAGATATTTCATCTGATTCAATTCGATTTTGGTTTGGTTCAGTTAAAATGTTTTAAGTTGTGGTCGTGGAGAGAGATGAGAGGAGGTTCTTATCCAAAGGACGACCTCTCCTTTTTGCCTTTTTTTTAATTGAGAAGCCATCTTTGTCGCCAAAAGACTACCATTTTTTCCAAATTGACGAGAGATACAACATCATTTATTTTTCGTAAAGGTCATAAACCAAACTGAAATAATGCAGAGGATGGTGACAAAAAACATATGATGGTGGTGGATTAAGAGTGAGTAATTACGATTGGTGGCACATTTGATGTGATCATTTTACCTACTCATTAAACCACTTAACCCCAATGTCTTTTTTTTTTTTTAATATTCCCATCATTTCATCCTTTATATCACTTTGCCTCCCAATCCTACGGCCACTATTCTTCCAATTTGCTATCTCCACTCCCTCTCCATACAAATAGTATTACATAAATAAATAAAAAAGACATTGGCTTAATTAGTTGGTTACATACATGCATTTGTCTTGGTATATATTAGAGCATTTCCATTCATATTATTTTGGTAGGTATTTCATTATTGAAATATTAAAAAAAAGCAAGAAAAAGAATTGAAAAACGTTTGTCATTTGAGAGATATTAAAATTTTGTTATACAGGTTTGGTTTATTGTTTTTTTTTTTCGTAACAAAGGTTTGGTTTATTGGTACCTATAGGTTTAACCTCAATTGCCCAACCTCTAAACATGTTCGAACTGAATTTCTTAACCCATATAATTATAAAAGTATTGATGGGTTATATGATTATATCTAATGTGTTTGTGGGTTTGATAGTAGATTAACCCAGTAGAGTTATGAATTATGTTTGAATCACCATCCATTTATGGTTGTAAAAATGCTTAAATAAACATCCATTTATAGTAGTAAATATATGTAAAATATATGCTATTAACTACGAGGTTCAATTAGCTAATTTTGTAACATTTAATTAAATTTCTTTAGTATTGTTTTTTTTACAGAAATTCACACGGGTCAAATGATCCCTCTTTCTAAAAAATCGCCCTGCCACTGGTGCTTACATAAATTATTTTAGAACTTAATATTTTTTATTATCTTCACAAAGTCGAAATGAATTCTAATCAATATCAAATGGTTTATTGACCATTTAAGTACTCAAAAGTCGTTTTATCCATACTACAACATTTTAGTATCATTATAGTGTAATTTGATTGATGCACAAATATTTTTTTATAGAAATTCTCTATTTGGAACATAAAGCAAAACTTTGTCTTTCCAAAATCTTTCATTTCAAACTCATTTTTCATGTAAACGCTTACATCATTAGTTTCTTTTTAAGTTCTAGTCATGTTCAAATCATCACTATATACAAAAATGATCACAAATTATGATGTAGATTTCTTAATAAACACACAAGAATATATCACATTGTTTATGTAACTTTTACTCAACAAGTTTTTAATTAAGTGATTATACCACATGTATCCGAATTGCTTTAATTTATAATGTTATCGCTGTAACTTGACCAAACATAATTTTGTAGATTCTTCATGCATCTTTGATCCTTCTGCGATCTTAAATACTTAGGGATTTCCTTGTATATTAATTATCAAGTGAACCATACATATATACAGTCACAACATCTACCAGGTCTATCTCAAAATTCTTAAAGGCCATTAGGCTCATTAAGTACATGAATGTGATTGCATCTATAACTGGGAAATATATCTCTTCATTATTTATTCCCGGTCTTTGAGAAAAACTTTGTTCCACAAGGCAGAATTTATACCTTGTGACCTCAGTTTATCATTTCTCTTCCTTACAAATGCCCATTTGTATTCGATCGACATTATATCTTGAGTAACAACTCTCTCTCCAATATTCTGTTTACTAAAAGAGAATAGCTAATTCCTCATTGCCAAGGACAACGGCCGATTCATACTCAAACTTATAGAAGTGTAGCCGATTAGAACCTGAACAATTTTAGTCTGCTAATTAGTACCCAAACTACTAAATTTTTGAATATCAAGACATGAACTTTACCTAGTTTGGCCAAAAACAACATTGACCAACTTTCCTTGTGTCAATATTTCTATTCTGTTAATGGTGCTGACTCAACCCGCCAGTTTGGAGTCCTTGTTGGAACTATAGCCAAAACGATGCCGTTTTATAAGATTAAAAATTCAATGTTCTGTCAAAACGACGTTGTTTCAGCTTAATTAGTAAACAACAAAAAATAAAACAAAACGACGCGTTTGTTTAATAGAAAACTCATCGTCTTCATCATCAAGGTCCAAAGAAAATCAAGAGATCAGAGATGGAGTAGAAGAAAATTCAGAAACTTCGAAAGGAAGAGTGGCGTGAGCAGGAGCTTAAGGCCCAACATAGAGAATCATCCGCTATCGCCGATTCCAAACGCTCTGCATATGTCGCTGATTTGACATCCTCTGCGGCATCTGCTACCGCCGATGATTCAAAATCCCTAGCCGATGAAAAGAAGATCACCGAAACCCTTCTTCTCCCGAGGCAGGAAGTGATTCGCCGCCTGAGGATCCTTCAACAGCCGATGACTCTCTACATAAGATGAAGAAGAAGAGTGTAGATGAAAAGGGGTAGGAATAGGGATAATGATTGTGATGATGATGTTAAAGATTCGAAGCCATTGGAAGCTAATTTTGAATATCTATGCAATGCGATGAGAATAAGATCTTGGTCTTCTACAAGAAGCTATTGATTGAATGGAAGTATAAGTTTGATGATATGGATGACACAAAGAGGAGAAGTGGCCTCGATGAAAAAGGAAAAATATAAGTTTTTTTATTTGTTTTTTTTTAAAAAGATGTCTTTTGAAAAAAAAATTATTTTTTGATCTTATAAAATGGTGTCGTTTTGGCTATTGTTTCAATAGATACTCCAAGCTGGCGGATTGAGTCAGCACCATTAACTAAATAGAAATGTTGACTAACAGAAAATTAGTCAATGTTGTTTTTGGCCAAACTATGTAAAGTTTATGTATTGATATTCAAAAGTTTAGTAGTTTGGGTACTAATTAGCACACCAAAATTGTTTAGGTTTAATCGGCTACACTTCTATAAGTTTGGGTATGAATTGGCTGTTTTCCCCTCATTACCACTTGCCATTTCTTCCAGTCACGCCTTCTTTGGCACTGTGACATGGAACTTTGATCTAGATCATCATTTTCATGATCGATCTATTTGGACATAGAAAAGGATCCTCTATTTCACTTCTAGCCTATATAATTTTCCACATTGGACGAAGAAGATAGAAATCTCATATATTTCTATTCCTTGTTTTTCTTCAGGATAAATCTCTTTATCAGGCTCTTCTGAAACTGCTTCATATATGTGTTATACTCATTATTTATACCAATTTATCATGCATTCATCATTAGTTTTTGGTCTTCAAACATGCATTTTTCACTTGTTCTTTCCCATTTGCATCCATTTAGGACTTAGAGTAGTTTTAGGAGTTGCATTGCATGTTTGGTGTATTTGGAGTTCGTGGCAGGTACAAATGAAGTGTTTAGAGGCTATTGGGAGCTTTGAGAGTGACCAAGGAGTGAAGCCAAGGCAAGCCAAGAGAGAACCAAGGCGTGGAGGACCATCTTGAGCTAGATATCAGGCAATCCGGCCCGATATTGGCCATACCGAGCTGCATCTCAGATTAGACACGTCGATACAGCGTTCAAGACTTGTACTGGGCTGGATATTGTGGTGGAGAGAAGCCAATACAGGTGTGAAGGGGCGTACCGAGGAGCATACCGAGCTGGAACAGCCGATAGACTTGGGACAGGACACTCATACCAAGCTGAGTATTGAGGTGAGCAAGCCGATACACCTTAAAAGGCGATCGTATCGACCTGCATACCAGGTAAGGCTAGCTCAATACAACCATAAAGATGGACGTACCGGCCTACGTATCGAGCAAGAGCAAGCCAATTTAAGGAGGAAAAAGCTCATATCATCCTGGATATCAGCCTGGACAGCCCGATATGGTGCATCCGAACCAAACCTAACCCGATTTACTCTTGTTTATTAGGGATATTCCTTCCACCTATAAATATGTTAAGACCTAAAATCATTAGTCAATCTATCTTTTATTGTTATATGCTTAAAAACCTTATATTTTCAGTAAACTTTGTAAGAATCTTGATTTCTTTAGTGAATTTCTGCACTTCTCTTATTATTTTCTTGTTCAATATTCTTCCTAATCATGCTTAACCATTATTACTCTATGGATTTTGTGGGTTTGTGATATACTCATATATTTAGCATATTTAGCATGCATTTAGTGTAGTTTTCATGCATTCATCTTGCATAATAGGCTAGTTTGCACCATTTTAGGTCCTAGAGCACTTTTGCATTAGCATTTGCATGTTTCTTGCATTATTGCATCATATTCAGGTTGTTTTGGACACATTGGAGCCATGGAGGTTGATGGCTGTAGATTACGTTTCTAAGTGGGTTGAGGCTATAGCTTCCCCATATAATGATTCGAAGGTGGTTGTCAAACTCTTCAAGACCATCATCTTTCCAAGATTCGGAGTTTCCAAGGTAGTAATCAGTGATGGGGGCAGCCACTTCATCAACAAAGTG